GTATTATGGTGCCTTTACGTGAAAATATCTCTGATCTGCCAATACACCTAAACGTCCATGCACCTACCCTTTTCGATTTTTCGCGGGAACGTGAGTATCTGGGGTCAAAAAACAAGGACGTTTGTATCATTTGTATTATGGAAAATAAGCCGTTTTTCTGGGCGGGCACGGACAACTCCCGGATTTCCTTCGGTTTTGCAACTCAGCGCGGTCACGTTCAAGGCTTTTTTGCACACAAAAATTCTAATATGTCAACGCTAATTTTAAACATCCTTTGAAAATTTAAAATAAAACCGATGACTCTACGTACACGTGGAATATTAATCGTGGTGATCAGGTGAGCTCTATTAAGTAGACGTGACGAGTGATATACAGCCACCACATATCAGTTTTCAGTGGATCAATTCTTTTTATAGCGTCAAAGCGTAGCTCGACCTTTATGTGTTATTTCTTATCCATTCTTGATCCGTGCTGTTTGCCTCCAATGCAAATATCGTGATTTACTTTGACGGAAAACACTCTAAGGACTTTTGACCGCGCTGCCACTGTAATCTTGGTCAGCAGTTATATATTTGTCGAACCATCTGATCTGAAATGCTGGCGTTTTTCGGGGAGAGAGAACCGAGGTTAGTGTCTATTTCAGTTCTTTTCTCGTTAACCTTTCATTTGCACTGTAACTTACTTAAAGTTCTGTCATCGAAATGTCATATTTGAAAGCTGTTTGTTTGAGTTCGTGTACTAAAAACACAGAATCACTCTAAATTATTCAAAACTAATATTCGTGCAGATCTTATCGCTGGGCTTGTCGTCGTTTCGACCGATTTTTATTCGGATTTCTCTGTTATTCTTGTCCAAAGAACCGTATTTTTTTGTGTTGTGTAGGTCAACGTTCCGATTTTCCTTATTTTACAATTGAAGATCTAAGTCTTATTGGATTTGTGGTCAAAATACAAATTGTAAGTGTAATGAGATAATAGCGCACGTAAGATTACCGAACAACAAAACAACCTGCTATTTTCATAATTTCCCAATGTAACTGATCCATTACATTCACTTTATTGTGGTTCAATTCGATCTACAGAAATTTTAAGACCACTGGATTACTTTATGGACCAAATATAGGCATTACATCACATCCTTCACGCGGAAAACGCAATGCACGGGGGCTTCTAGATTTCTAGAATAAGCTTGCAAAATTCAGAACATAAATTATCGAGGATAACAGTGTTTTGAATTTGATGCCCATTTGATCACATCAGCTGTGAGATATGCTGGTTAGTCATATAAGCAAGTTCGGACTCTGTTTATTCCTGTTATGGTTGATATTTTGCTGACATGTTCAATCACAAACCACTTAAAGAATACCTGGTTCTCCCCTGTTGGTTTGTTTATGTTTTTTTTTTTTTGTTTTGTTCGAAATGTCTATAGTCTCTATAGCGAGCGTTGGAACGTAAACATGCACTTCAGTTGTGTTGCCATTGCATAATTCGTGGAACAAGGCTCCATGCTGTGCAATTGTGTTTTGTGGAATGAGGGATGAGATAAGCCATGATATTTAACTACAGTAGCTTTAAAAGTTGGAATCCTTTATGATGCTTTATCCCCTTCCTATTCAAATCACGAAGAGATGGGAGGTGGCGGAAAAGGTCCCCTAGACCTTTTCAATGTTAGATAAGAATGACATTATTTACTTTTAAAAAGTAATATCTAAGTGGTTTCCGTGGGGACCCCTCCCTGGAGGTAGTCAGTAATATTATTTAATGCCATGTCAGCTTCTTAGAGTGTCCGGTTGATTATTGTCAGGTCAATCCAAGAAAATTAATGGAAAAATTAAATTTCTCCAAAACGGAACGAGGTCGGATAACCTATATAACATCTGCCATGGCACTATTTTCCTCACGAACAAAACGTTATCAGTTTGGAAAATGTAGAGAACCAATAGTTTTTGTGCAGGCTCCAAACGGAAATATGTTGTCAGAGAAACAAGAAGTCATAGTTACTTCAGTGCATGTCTTCTGGTGTGGCGCACCAGCAAAATTCAATCAGCTTTTTTAAGCGAACGCTTCTTATTTTAAAACTAATGGATTTTTTTAATCTGAGTCACCTTAGGCCTGCGTTTTGGTCATTTATCGTTTTCTTTCCTTGGCACTGTTGTCTTGGTTATCACTAGCTGCTGTAAAGTAAAGCGTTAAGAGGTACACTCTACCGTTTCGTGTTATTTGCACATGTTATATATACGAACCAAAAGTGTAACATTGTTATGACTGTAAATAGACGTTTTCCTGCGGGTTTATAATAGCCGCAGTTGCAACTTCAAACTTATTTGGCGTTGCCAAAAGAGCAGGAAACATTTTACAACAGCAGATTTGATCGAGAACAATATAAAACTTCACATGTTCCATTGTGGTCCATTGTGTTTTAATGTATGAATTGTCAAGCAGGTCATAGTTGTGTTTAGAATATCACACCAGTTAAAAACGTTATCAGATCGTTATACTAAGCCGTTGAATTCTCAAGTGGGGTCCAGAGAAAATGAAATATTTCAGACAAGTGTTCACAAAGTAAAAGCATTTATGTCGCAAACGTGACAAACTTCACGCAATTTTAGGTGTTAAAAACAAGCTTAATTTCACGTGTTAAAAACAAGTTTTATGCCAGTAACTTCGCAGAAAGGCATGATGGCATTCTACCAATACTAGAATGGTTATATTGTACCTTGAATATTAAAAACGTTTTAAATCGCATATAAAAGCAGTTGAATGGCAAACTTCCTGTACTTGAAACACTAACAAACAAAAACTCGTTTGGTCATGTAATCTACTGGAAAGTCGCTCGCTGATTGGTTCTTTCACAGCGTTAGATGACGTCCTTTCCGAGGCCCATCAAGTTTGGTAAGGGTTGTCGCACAAACCTCTCATTTGCATAACTCTCCTTTGTCAGCATGCATCTAGTGAAAGTTTTCAATTAACCCGCTGTCTTTCACGACTTGACCTAAGCGAAGAAGATCGACTTCGAATTTCTACTGTAAATCTGGAAGCTCAATCGCTACTTCCGTAGAAAGAGATTGGTAAGTGATACGTTCTATTTGACACCTAAAGTTTGAGGTACGCGGATAAACTTCTCAACTTCATTCAAACTGAAGTTTTCTTTGCGTTGATTAAACCTAGAATCGATTTAAACGTCATGTTTGTGTGAGAGCAGATGAAATCTACTCGTATTTAAAACTCAACCATTGGAAGATTGCGAACGCATCCGAAATTTACGATCGCAGTACGTAACGGAAATGCGACAATAGTTCTTGAAATATTTGGTTGCATTTATCGAATAAGATATACAGGACAGTGGCACAGTACTGGAGGTCTCTTTCAGGTGTTTTATGTGACGTATAAAGCACGCTTTCTTTTGTTTTGGATCTTGAGCGATTTACTTCGTATGTCGTTCTCAGAAAGCAACCGAGAGACTGAATCATTTCCGCCGAACGTGCGTTACAAAAAACTAAGTATGGTCGACGCTTAGCGGTGTGGTTGCCAGATAGACTGCCTAGGCTTATAAACAATCTTTAAGCGAGCACAAAGGCTCTTTAGAAGGGGTCTAACGTGAAAATGGTGAGCTATAATTAACAGTGTCCAGTAACCCGGTAAAACAGTCAAAACGCACTAAAAATTACATTGGAACGCTTTGCGCTTTTGGCCTTCAGGCAACGAAACGTCCTTTACGGAGTTCACCTAAACAAAAGCGACGACGCTACGCCAGTTGAACCCATTTTGGATATGTAACTAATGTTTTCATGTCTCTTCATGCAAATGAAGGCGTCTGAAAATCCCTTAGGCGTAGATACCTTGTACGTGAACATCAAACCCATAGAAAGAACGACGAAAGCGAAATTTTCGCTTATCCTCATAAATTGCAAAAGTATAATTTTATGACAGCAGGTTAAAAACGTTACCTCAGCTTTACTTTCGATTATGCGTATATCAAATCTAATACCTGTCACATTTATTGTCAGACAGATGCCGGAATAAAAGGTCTCAAATGCTTTGTACACAGAACGTTCTTTCTCTGAGAAAACAATCATAAAGTTCAAAGATTTGTTTTATTGCGAAAACTGAAAGCGAACGACAATTTGCCCCCAAGAAAGGATTAGCTATGAAAATGTCGCTGCAGTTGTCGAGCCTCCTTGCCGAATTTTTCACGCTCATTAATAATGTAATACCACGGTCGGTCGCACCCAAATGGTCAAAAAATATTGGTATTGTTGTACGTTGGGTTTTGATAGGTCCTGACAAGTTACCAGGCGTGCATACAGCGAGTCAGTTTTTGATGAATGTAAATAAGTTTTTCTCTTCGATTATTTGCATTCAGTCATCCGTATTTTTAGAAAAGTTCGACAGACAACCACAAGGGTGGATTGAAGGAAATTCAAATGAGATTTGTGCGCGCTTTCGGAAAATTTGTGTCTTTGACAACAATAATGTAGACTGGGGCTTCCGTGTGTCGATTGCGGTAACGACGGTATGGCCAAGAGAGAGGCGAGTTCACCACGACAAAGATTGTTTTTATTGGCGCAACTTATTTGAAGTTTATACAGACTACATCGACTGAAGTAGGGAAAGATAATTTGATGAAAGAAGCCACTACTGCATCGCTGTCAGTGTTCTCCGAACGATCTTGTCGCAGCCATATGGAACATGTCTTCCTTCTGGGAAAAATTGGCACAGCCGTAAGTAAAATTAAATATCTTCTAACGCTTTCCATTTGTACGAACGAAATATGAAAGTCAATCAATATCGACATTTCACATCGCAAAATACTGTTTCTGTTTGTGTGTATGTCGATAAAAACGCGTCATAAAATTGTAAGCCGGTGCATTTTCAAGACACATAGAGCTAGACATCAGGTGAAGTGAATATGGACCATATTCTGTACATATGGTACCTTTTTATAATTTCATGTCAGCGATTTTCGTTTCGAAAGAAGTCAACATTAGACATGACTACACAATCGAATACCGGACGTCGAACTGTCAAGTGCCGACTCGAAGATTTTGGGCAACGAACTGACGTTTTCAATTCTTGTTCAATCTAAAAGGCAATTTTCTCGACATCTGCCCATTATACAATCGAACTGTGTCATATTATTTAGTTGTCCTGAAATCTTCACGTGTATTCCTAGATCGCACCCTAAGATCTGTTTATTTTCAAAACAAGAGATACTTTTAGCCTAACTCCCTAAAGCGCCAGAATATCATCGAGAACAAAATGTTTAAAAATTCTGTATTTCACGCAGAGAATGAAAGCGGTCCGTCTTCGTGTAATTTTCATACGCGAGAAACTTCATGCATAAATCTCATGACTACTTGGAAGCACGGTCAAAATTCACCCTCACCTCCTTTTGTGCAATATAAGAAATTACCTAAGTTCTTAAATCGTATTGTTAAAGGTTTATTAGAGAGACATGAACACATTGCTTTAATTTGCGGTTTAAGAACCGACTATTTACATTTTCCGCTTTGCCCATAGAACTTGCTATTCAGAATTTTTTATTCTGCCAGAAGGCAACAGTTTTCTCGCATTTAGCTTTGTTGCAGATACTGAAGGAAGTTTCAATTTCTTTGTTGTCCAAAAATTTGAGATAAGTCTCTTGCACGACCCATTTTGACCAGAAATTAGCAATATGGGACCGTGTCGTCGACTTTTCTGGAATATAGTGTATTTCGTGTTAAGATGTTTTGATTTCAGATAAATTTTACTATATTCGCAGCGAATAAACTCGACAATAGACAAAGTAATTTCAATCTGAAAGCCTTTGTTGAATTTAGATTGTTAACTCTGTCAAAGTTATGGATCCGCTTGAGTTCCGAAAACGACAAATATACATTAGGATGTCATTATTCCTATCGAAATTATCATAAAAAATTGACGTCTTTTACAAAAGATAGACTGTTTGAAAATTATATGCACTGGTTATTTACAAATACTACCGAGGTTTGGCTTCTTTTTTGTGCATAATGTCCTCACACGCGCTATTTTGAGGACGGGATCGATTTTAACCGCCAGAGCTTTTGTTTCCAAGCCAATTTGAAATAACACGCGTATGCAAATCTACAAATGCGTTCTCATTCAAAGATATCACGGTTTAATTTACTTGTTTGGTTACTTCAGAAGCTTTGATCAACGTTCATTGGAGAGTTGTCTGTACGCCAATGTTTTCACTGCCCGAGCTCTTTGTTCCTGCAGTTTGGTTTTGTTCTCGTGTTTTGCTTCCACTCAACATGGATCCATTGTTAATCTAATTGAGGTATTTTTCCACGTGTTTCCAATTCAGTTCGGCCTCAAATCGATTAAAATCTGTCCCTGTGGGAGCTCCAATTAGCGAAATTCTTTAAGGACTTCGTCTTCTTCTTTCTTGAAGTTATGTCTGCTTAGTGCAGTAGAAATTTATGTAGGAGAATTGAACTTCCTCAGCTGATTAAACGCCACCATTGTCTTTTGAAGTAATTTTTAAAAAATGTTTTTTAGAATGGATCAGAAAGTATTGGCATGTTTAACAGCTTGAGTGCTTTTCATTGTTCATCAATTGCTTGAGTTCTCTTGTTACCTTGCATAATTTATTGGTATGAACACGTACCACAGCTTTGCAGTGTTTGTTTGCACCGTAAAGCCACTGAAACAACAAACAAAACTCTTCGCTCGAATTTTTTTCAGTTTCACGGTAACTCACCAGACCCTCAGCAGGTTTTCACATGATAACATTTGAATCTGAAAATATTTCAAAAGGAATTATCAAAAATCGAAAACCAATAACATTTTTGCATTTGATTTTAGGCTTACAATGGCTGGGCTCAGCTATTGGCTGCAACAGCTCGTTTAACATGCTCTCGACCAATCAAAGACAAATTTCATTCTTTACTAATCAAATACAAAACCTACACCAATCGAGACTTAGCTGCCGGGTTTTTCCCGCGCTTTTCTGAGGTCATAATGTATACATGAAGTTGAAGGGATTAGCTATGACATAACTCTTGGTTAGTTAAAATTCTCTTCCCTAAGTATATCGAACTAACAAGTGCCATAGTTGTAGCCGTCGAACACTTTTATAGCCTTATTATAATCTCTCTGAAAACAGCATGATTTCTAAAGAGTATTACAAAAAATCACGTCCGTAAACACGTTGACCTGTGAGCAGGTTCACGGTTAGGTAAACGAGTCGGCGAACGAAGCCGACGCGCTCTTGCGGCTTGGTCCCTCGGGTGCATGACCTGGACAAACGTGATAGTGCTCGCAGACTAAAAAAATGTTGTTGATGAGTGCAATGGCCTCGGTTAATTCTCGGAGTCACGATTTCGTTCTCGACTAGCTCTTGACCCTTCGACTGCATTTAGCGGTTTCCTTCCAGACAAAACTAATTGTTCTTGTTTTTACTCCTAGTCTTCCAGATCCATCAAGGCAAGGACGTAACGCTTCTGCCATCTTTGGGGCCAGCCCAAGTTTCGGACTATATCCGGCAGAGACTAAGCCTCAGTTCAGACCAGCCCCACCCAAAAGAGTCCCTGAACCCAAGAAGGTCAAAAGGAGTAATAGTGATGTAGCGCTCAGAAAAAGATCCAATCCAAGGCGGAAGTCAGGAGATTTTAGCCAAGTGAGGAAACGCAGTGAAAGTGAGAGTGAAAATCATTTGAACGGCGTAACTTGTAACGGAAAAACTGTTTCCACTTCGATACTGTGTTCTGGATCAAAAGGGAGTGATTGCGCCGACACAGTCGCCGATAGCGTCTGTTCATTACCCGAACAGTCGCAAGATCCAAACGATTTCTCCAACAGGTATCCGCTGTTTATTCAAGTCAATAACGGTTCGCAAACCGCAAGTAAAGCGCGCATTGTAAAACCCGTTGGCAGGGCATCAAATCAAGGTTCTTACAAACAAGACGCTGCTCAAGACAAGCAGTCAGTCCGGCCTAGAAGAAGCGCCAGTTTTTCAGCGCCTAAAAAAACAGCTACTCCATCCAGACCCTCTCAATCAAGCCAGCCGGCCCAGGATACGTTGAAAAACGGAAACCTGCGCCGTGAGAAGAGTGATATCGTCAGACCTCGCCGTACGCGATCGCCATCTAATAGAACTGCTATCCCGAGTCCCGCTCGGTCAGTCTCTTCTTCTAGTCTTAAGCAGGACAATAGTTTAGTAAGCCCACGCTCTCAATCGCCAGCTGGTCTTCGGCGTGAACACAGTGACGTCACCAAACGTCGCGCACCGCCAAGTGTAAGACGGGAAAAAAGTGACATTGTTCGACCAAGAGGCCAACTAAGAACTAACTCACCTACTGTGAGTAATGAAAATTTAGAAGGCGACATAAGTAGGTCGTCAAGTAACAGAAGTTTAACTTCAAGTCCGTTGAGTAAATCACCGTCAAAGAGTTCAATTGAAGGCAGTCGATCTCGTTCAGGGAGTAGCAGCGAGATGTCGAAGATTCCGTCTCTTGTTCGATCGCCAGCAAGTGCTGGAAAAACAGACTCGCACGTTTCTCGTATTCCTTCTCTCACGAAGAGAAACAACAGCGAAGAACGTACTCCTCCCAAGAGTAGGATTCCATCTTCAACTAAAGGCGACAAGGCTCAAGAAGTCGCCCAGAAGTCTCAGTTGCCCACAGCCGGCCGGAAAGACAGCGCCTCACAGAAGGACAAGGCGGCAAGCAAGATTCCTTCATCTGCAGCACTGTCACAAAACAGACCTGACTCAGCGAAAGAAAACAAAGATCCTACCGCTGCAAGTGTGCCAAATGGACATGAACCAGTTAAACAAGTGAGCAAAATCCCATCTTTCTCCAAGACTGGCATTCCCAAGTCGAAAATTCCGTCTGTAGCACGAAAAGACAGCCGCAACGAAGAACACCCGGCACTGAACGGAGAAGGACAAACACATTCTTCGGTAATTCGTAGTCCAAGTGATGCTACCAAGAGTAAGATCCCAGGTGTGTCTTCACCCCCGCAAGGAACTGGCATCCCAATGGGTGTCAGCAGGATCCCGTCATTTACAAAGTCACCATCATCAATTAAAACACCGGAATCAAAGCAACCCAGCCCTGGAGGGTCCAAATCTTCAGAACCAGACGGACCACCAGCAAACGTGTCACGCATTCCAACGTTTCCTTCTACGCCCCCAAATAGGACCCCTGAGTCAAAGGTTCCTGTTCCTGGAGGGTCCAAGATTCCAGAACCTAAAGTCTCTACCAAGTCTCCGCCGAGCTCGTTACCAGTCGCTTCGAAGGCAAGTGGGATACCAAAGCCGGGGGAAAGCAGGATTCCTGGGTATGCTGGCGAAAAATCGACACGAAAAATTTCAAGTACAGAAAAAGAGACTGTAGCGACAGGATCACCAGTGGCTTCCTCGCCTGTGGAGACTAAGAGCAAAATTCCTTCGCTTCCCAAGCAGACGGCGATTTCTAAGCCAAACGGAAACGAGCAAACTGCTTCCAAACCTAGAACTGGTATACCAACGCTAGGTGGGAAGCGACCCTCTATCGATCAAGACTCACCAAGTCAGGAGGAACCTGCCACTCCTCCAAGCACACCGATTCGCGAGAATTTCTCTTCAGAATCGCCCTTAGATAAATACATTTTCACCGAGGCTAAGAAAATGGAACAGCTTCTGCGCGATGAACCCATTGAGGTATCGGTACCGGCGGAAGATTTCGACGACGACGACGAGGAAGAGTTTCTGCGCCAAGAAAAAGAAATTGAAGAAGAAGAAGAGAAAGAGCACGAGAAAGAACTACACATGTTGGACTCAAAAGAAGCCGAGGACTTGATCAGCGAAGTTTTGAAAAGTTATGCTCCTGACATTAACAAAGAAAACCAGCCAGAACTGGAAGAGGTTTCTACTGTGAAAGATGACAACAGAAACTTTAAAGAAATGGTGAATATTGATGACATCGTGCCAAAACCAACCAAAAGCGAAAATGAGCTGCCGACAAAATTAGAGGTGAAGGAAGAGAAGGTAGATAACGCCCTCAGCGAAATTAAAGTTGATTCGAAGGAAGTGAAGGAGAATGGCATTGCAGAGACAAGGAAAATAGCTGAAGTCCAGGAAGAGAAGGCCAAGAAATCAGAAGGCAAGAATAACGTACCAGACCTTAAAATTGCCATTCCAACCGAAAAGGTGGTTGAAAATGAGAAGGAAGAAAAAGTCGAGAAAGAAGCACCAAAGAGCGAAGGGCCTGCAATTGATACGTTGGGTGAATACGCCCAGCAGGCCAGGCGGTCGCGCAGTCGGCAGCGAAAAATTGTAAGCCCTGATTCAGAAGAACCCGAGAAAGAATTTGTGGCGGAATCTGTGAAAGAAGTTGAAAAAGAACTTGAAAAGCAAACACCTAAGGAATCAGAGAACAGTACGCACAAAGAGCAGCCCAAAAAGGACATCAAAAAGGACAAATATGGGACAGCTCCCTTTGAAAGCGAGAAGAAACCTAAAGAAGCTTCAAAATCGGCGAAATCAAAATTGAAGAGCGACAAGCCGAAATTTCTCATTGAGTCGTCGCTGGGAAAAGATTTCTACGCCACTCGGAAATCAAATGAGAGCATGGAGTCGCGAGACAGCGTGCATGATGATGTCGTGAAATCCTCATTCAAACCTGAACTGTCCGCTCTTGTATTCGAAAATAAGGTTGTTGAAAAACCCTTGACATTAAAACGGACAGAGGTGCCTTCAGTTGAAGAAGCCGTCAGTTTGGAGGAGGCGGAGTTTGAAGACGTTGACTTGAGGTCAGAGCAAGCATTAAAGAATGAACGGCGTGAAATTTCAAGGAGTGTAGATACACTTGACGAAAAGACTGTGAAATGCATGTGTGGACGAGGCGGCAAATGTTCTATAATGTAGCGAGGAAAAACAACTGAACAGTGTGAGACATTCAGTTCTTTTTCTTGTATATTTAGAGCTCAATTACAATGTGAAAAGTGTTACAGAGACGATTGAATCACCTTCACTTTTAATTCAAAACTTAGTTGCATATCTTCGTGTTGGTGTTTGAAGATGACTAGGTTTAGCATGAGTTTATACTTAACATTTACTATTAAAATTCTGTAATCAACGTTTTTGCGACATTTGCTGGTAGCCGATAGCTGTGTAACATTCTCGGAACCTCCCCCCCCC